ACATGTTTTTAAGGCTTTTCATTAATATATATAAATTATTTAAAAAATCATTACGTATTTTTCCTTCAATTTGAGTAATTTTATTATAAAAATGTAGATGAAGAAGAAGGAAATTATTCTAAGCTTATTTCAAAATTTTGGAATATTAATTATTTATCCTATTAAAAATTTTTATAATTAGTTAAATTAAATAAGGGATTGAAATAAATTGATAAAGGTTAATTTTAATAGAACTTATAAATAAATAAATTTATCCAACTTCTTAATTTGCATTCATCTAAGCTTTGGTCTATAGAAAATGAGAATATATTAGAGTTATGCTAATTAATTTATTAATATTCACAATTTATATTTGTATATTCAATGAACTATGACTTTTGACAAGCTACTTGGTAAAAATTAATTAATTCATTAGTTTAAACCATAATTTTGATTTTATGGAAATTTATTGAGATTAAGATATTTATTTATTAGAGACTAAATACTATTACTAGGTAAATTTATCCACATTCTCATTCTAATGAAAAATAAATTACTAAATATCTCTTAAAATCAATTTAACATAAATAAATAAAAACCAGAAACTTTTGCTTAAATTTGATCATAACAATCAAGTTAATCACCTTGATAAGCATATTAGCTAAAAATAGCACTTAAAAATATAAGATCTCAATGCAAACATCTCTAAATATTCTTGATTCTATATTATCAAAAATTTAACCTTCTCTCAAACTTTCATCTAATTTACTTGGCAAAGAAATCTTAATGTGTGCTTTGCAATTTGCTAAAAAAAATTATATGATATTCACTATTTTGATTCTTTTGTTACATTAAATTTAAATTTTGGGTATTCTTTAGTTTTAGGAGTCTATGCATTCGAAAATAAATATTTAAGAATACTCCTTAAGTTGGTTAAAAATATATTGAAACAAAATCTGAATTTAGAAAATTTTGGAAGTTCAAGCTATTCATGATAGGATTCATTTCAATATGTTACTCAAATGTGCTTGCTTATTAAACAATAATATGAAGACTAAATTTAGGATATATTTTTATATAGGAATGATAATTTTGGTGAAAATTCTTTCTAATAAATTATTAGTTTTGGAGTACTGCTTTATCAGAATGGGTAAAATAAGTCAAAAAATAAGCTATTTAAAAGGATTGTAGTTTAAAATTGATCTACTTTAAATTGGTATACTTTGAATTATACAGTTACTGCATTTTGTGAAATTTGGATTTGGTTAATCAAAATAGCTAGAAGAAAGAGTTTTCTTTTAATTCAACTCTTTATTGATTAAAATATATCAGAGATTTACTGAGCTAAACAATTCATTAGTATTAGTGGCGAAGCAAAAAGGATTAAATCTTCGAATAGAATCATATTTATTCAGATATTTTATCTATCAATTTAGTTCATAGTTTAAATAATACTATCAAAATCAATTAATTTAATTGAATTCTAGGAGATATTAAAAATTGGTCTACTTGTTTAAAATTGTAAATGTAATTTTTGTTCTTGTTTACATTTATTTTGATTCTAAAAGTGGGTTCTTTACAGATGGAATATTTGGATTATATATTCTTAATGTCACCTGAATAATAATATCGCTATTTTATGTATAATTTGAAAAATCATTGACATATTGCTAAAGTATCAATATCAGAGCCTTCTAATAAATAATTAATGCTTTTGATAATAATCATTTTTTTATGATTAATTCTTAATAACTACCTTTATCTCTATTCTTAAAGTATTAGGGAAAATCTATTTTATAAAATAT